GGGGCCGGGCTGGATCCTCGGGAAGAGACCCAGAAATGGCCTTTCCGGGGTCTCCGGGGCCCGGGAGACCCAGGAGGTGAGGAGCTGCGGGCTCCACGCTGCGTCCAGGAAGCTGCGGGAGGGCTCGGCAGTGCGCGCGGCCCGGGGTCTCGTCCCGCCCGCCGCGGTGCGGCCGAGGCAGATGCGCAGGGGCCCGGCCGGGCTGGATCCTCGGGAAGAGACCCAGAAATGGCCTTTCCGGGGTCTCCGGGGCCCGGGAGACCCAGGAGGTGAGGAGCTGCGGGCTCCACGCTGCGTCCAGGAAGCTGCGGGAGTGCTCGGCAGTCGGAGCCCGGCCGGAGCCTGCAGTTCGGACCGAGGAACACAAGTCGGTCAAGTCACCCTCCGAGGCCCACAGCCTTCCCCTTGCTTTACCCTTCCGGCTCAACAAGACAAAAGGCTGCCAGGAGACGCACTTCGGACCCGGGGTGGGGCAGAGGCAGGTGTCGCAGGCCCTTCTGGACTCCAGGTGGCTCCAGGTGTCAGAGAAGCCTGTGGCATTTTGGACGCATCTCTGTGCGACGGAAGCACCTGGACCAAGGGTTTGGGCGCACCATGGTGTGCGCTGTCCAGCTTTCTCATAAAGCGATTAAGCACACCTGGGTCAACCCTCCGTTACCAGGAAGTCCGCTTCCATCTACGTCTGCCTTCTCAAAGGTCTCCAGGGAAAGTGCAAGGAAACATGGGAACTGGACTCTTACTTGGAAACATAACCAGATGTTATTCTTGGCGGTTGTCTCCACAGCCTCCTCGGTAGTAGATCTCCCAGCCCACTCCTGTCCCATCTAAAACTCTTCCCTTTGACCAGAGACCCCGCCTCTCCTCCCCGTAAGACACAGACACAGGCAGGAAGCACCGCTGCCCTGCCACCCCTCCCCCAGTACTGTCTGGGTCTCTGTTCTCCACTACTGAATTGGCACCACCTTATTGCCATGACCCTGGGTTTCTTCCAGGCCAGGAGGCAGGAACAGCAGGTGAGCTGTAGTCTTCCTTTTCACCACCACCTTCCAGATCTGCCATCTGTTGCAGGCAGGGCATGAGATGGTACAGAAGCTGGAGCAGATGCTTCGGGGCTGCCCAGGCAGGCTATGGGGTGGGGTTGGGCGTCCTTCAGATAGGAATGGGAGACAGGGCGCCTCTGCCACCCTGCTGTCCTAGGGGCCTCACCTCAGTGAGGAAGGGGTCAGTACAGGCAGCAAACGGTGGGCTCACTGGGCCTTCTGTCAAGGAGAGGTGAGGGTGCCGATCTGGGGAAGGTGATGGCACCACTTCCTTACTCTCAGGTTTTACCCTGAATTTTAAGCTTAACTGTCTTGCAAGCCTAGCGTTCCAGGAGCAAAAAATGTGGCCTGGTGGTCCTACTTCCTGAGTCTCGTCGGGATTGCTATGATTCTGTGATTTTTAGTGGGTCAGTCCTAGTCATGACCAGGATTGCAGTCTTCCTGTGCTTACTTGGGAAGCAGCTCAGGAGGATCAGGAAAAGGTACATCCAAGCAGAGACAATGAGTACTGTAACACTTGCTTTAGTGTTGGCTGCTTTGTGGGGCTGTGGGTGAGGAGAGGGATGCAGGACAGTATCTTGCCTGCTTGGTTCTGCTGCACCAGAGCCTATCCTTCCTGTAGAAAAAGGTGTGACCCAGAACTAACTCGAATAGTAGTATGCCAAGATCGTTTGGGGGCAGCATACCTTGCAGTGCAGCCACACAAGGTCACATTCTCCCTGGGAACAAACTTCTTTTCCAACCCAAAGTCAGTGATCTTGATACTTCCTTGGGAGTCCAATAGGATGTCAGGTTTGATTGAGGTCTCTGTGGGTAACACCCTGGCCGTGGCAGTGTTGCGTGGTTCCTGCAGTCTGGAGGAATAATCTCTGGGCCTTCTCTATGAGAACATCAGTGGCCCCTGGACATACTGACTCAGGTCTTCTGGATGTTCATGTTCTATAAGATATGGTTTAAGGGTCTCAGACCTCCAGCATTTGGGTGACTGTAGGTGCTGTGGCTCCTTTAAGTGCCCTCCCTCAGCTGTAATGAAGGCAGGTTCCACTCTCCTTTTGCAGAACCTTAATGGCCACCAATGTCCCAGTGGCAAGATGTTCTGCCTGTGGTACATTGGCAAAGGCACCCTGACCAGTGGTGCCCAACATGTCAAGTTTTGAGTGAGGCTCTTTCCTCAGGAGCAGCCTTGACAGTTCTGAGGGATGCTCTTTCTGCAGGAGTTGGCTGTGAAGCCCAGCCCTGATACCTCGCTGTGCTCAGCACCCATACTGTGTATTTTATAGTTGACTGACTCACATGGCAGAGGAAACTCTTCCCCTTCTTGTGAGCCAGGAAACAGACAGCAGGGAAGGGGCCAGGATCCTCATATCCCACATGATCCAACTGCCTGCCATTAGGCTGCACTCCTAAAGGGTTCATGGCCTCCCCGGGGCGCCTGTGCTGCTCTTAGCTCTGGAATGGGTCCACCAGGGCAGCGTAGAACCTCGCACTTGCCATGCCGTGGAAACTATGGTTGAGGTATGCTGCAGAGGGCAGGGCCATATCAAGCACTTCCATGTGGGTGACCCACAGCCACATGAGCTAAGAAAGGTGCCAGCTGGGATTTACCTATGTGTCACAGGAGGCCACCAGGAAAACCAGAGAGGCACAGAATGCAAGTGACAGTCTGACCCACAGTGCTCAGAAAGAGGCAGGAGACCCCAGCTGAGGAGTAGAGATCACTAGGGAATGGTGTGGACTGGTAAAGCCAGCGAACCCATGTTTCTACTGGCTTCTGCTGATTGTTACCCCTTGTGGATGAGCATAGGTTCTGGAGTGCAGATCTCAGTATGAGATATGACTGAATAAGTGTTGGCAACTAAGAACTTTAACAAAAATATGTCAGCCAGCTGTGGGTAGCACATACCTGCAATCCCAGCCCTGAGAAGGCTGAGGCAGGGGGAATGTGAATTCAGCGCCAGCCTGACCTACTTAGAGAATCAAGCTCAAACTGCACTGCTTTATGAGACCCTATCTAAAAAAAGAACAATAGGTGTGTGGGTGTGTGTGTATGTGTGTGTGTGCGTGCACGCACACACACATGTATATATAATAGCTCAGTAGGACATATGAAACATAGCAGTCAACTTATTGGAGTCCAGGGGCTGGGTCTGTGGTACCTGCTTTAGAAATCAACCATTACAGGGCTGCCTAATAACAGCAATAATAAAAGCTGACATCTGGGTGGGGAGCAATGGAGGCAGGAGAATCACAAGTTCAAGGCTGCTTTGGGCAAGTTAGTGAGACCTTGTCTCAAATGATGAAGGGCTGGGAAAGTAGCTCAATGATAGAGCACCCCTGGGTAACACCGCTAGTACCACCAAAAAAACAAAACCCAAAAAGGGCTAGCTTAGGCTTCTTGGCCTCAAGTCCCTATATGAAGCACCTCACACAGGTCATTTTAAGTATCTCAGAAACCCTGTGACAAGGCACTGTACTCCTCCCAATGGCTTGGAGGAGGTTCCGGCCCTGGTTCAGGGCATCAATACATGGGCCTCGTGCTTTGCCTTTCATACATGAAAAGTGCTCCAGACTCTTGGAGGTCCCTAGGACTGAAGTGCTTTATCTCCCATCCCATGTCACTGCCTTACAAGTTGTGAAACTCTCGCTTGAACTTGTATGTGCTTATTCTTTTGAGGTTCTTGATAGGTGGAGAGAGCTTCATAAGCTATAACCTCAAAGGAGCAGGAATCTTACTTATCCTTTATGTCCATTGTGATGCAAGTATTTGTGACATGTAGGCATTTCTAGTTGATGGAGTCAATGATACTTTTTTCTCTTCCATTTTAGCAGTCAGACATTTGGTTTTACATCAGAGAAGATTGTCTGAACTGGGCCCTGAGAACAAGGTTCCTACTAGGAACCCCTCCTTACCCAAAAAACAGATAAACATTCAAATGCTTTGGAAGCAGCGTGAACATGCTGTTTGCAAGGCCCTGGTATGGAAAGCAGTTGGGTGCTGTCAAGGCGCAGTACACATGTACTCAAGTCCTTCAAGTGTATGTATCAGTACTTTGGCTGGTGGACTTCACTGCACCAAGGAAGTGCCCCTCTCTGAATGGCTCATTTAGTTATTGTTGATTCTTTTTACTTTTCATCTGACTTACAAAAACTTTCCTGAGCCAAATTTTATATGTGGTTTTACCACTCTGCCATACAGAAGGATAAATTTGAAACATTTGTAGGAAAATGAAAGCACCTTGAAACTGTTAAGTGAAATCAGACACACAAAGTTAAATATTGCATGGTTTCTTAGAAGAACCTCAAAGTATAAATAATAGTGGAGTGAGAAGTTTTGCTAAATGCAAGTTGACCAAGAGTTGGCGGGGGGTGTTGGGAAGGGGAATAAAAAAAAGATGTGTTATGTACAGGTATTAACTCTCCATGGGTTTATCAATTAGAGCGACCGTGTGAAGAAAAAAAGCTTTGTCAAATGGGGCGGAGATGAAGACTTGGAAATGAGAGGGGTTGATGGGGAAGGGGACAGAGAAACAAGATGTGCCATGTATGTGTGCAGACTCCATAATAAATGCAGTCACGTACTGAAAGCATATGAATAAAAATACAGTAATAATGTTTAAAAGGCTACATAATATCCAAATTGGGTTTAATCCCAGGAATGGAATACATGATATATTTAACATTTAAAACATCATAAAATCATCTGTTCACACCCATTCATGATTAAGATTTTCAGCAAACTAGAACTAAAAGGAAACTAACCTGAAAAGGGCTATTCACAAAACCTACAAACACCCTTTATAATGGTGAAATCCACCCGTTTTGAGCACACAGGTAAGAACAGGATGCCTTCCAGTGTGTCTCTTCAGTGATATATTAGAGGACATTATCAGTCCCTCAAGACTAGAAATAACCAATCAGACATAAAAAATGCCTAGGATGAAGCAAAGTGATTCTTGACTTGCAGATGGTAACATTTCTTACATAAATAAGTCTCCATATATAGCAAGAGAATTTAACACAGTGACCAAATAGAAAATATGCAAAAGTTAAGATACATTTGGAAAGGTAATTTGATATTAAAGGACTTTATAAAAGTGATAAAAATGTAACATGAATAAATATTTTAAAGCCCTGAGTGGAGAATTATTTTTATTGAAAGATCAAAAAATTCAAATAGATACAGAATATGGTATTCTTGGATAGAAATACTAAATGTGATAAAGATGTCAGATTTCCCTTTTATATATCAAGTTAATGTGATTCTTATGAAAATGGTTTTTTATGAGTCTTGACATACTGACCTACCTAAAAAGTTACGTGGAAGAGAAAAGGCCAAAAATAGTCAAAATCTCTTGAAGAAGATGGAAGCATTCATAAGAAATCTGACTCCATTTTTTTTTTAAATCATCATTGCTGAGAGCTTTTAAGCCTCATTTTTTCCCCTTCCTCTTGGACAAGCACATAAGATTAAATGCTCCCCCTTCCTAATGCTGATGGGAAATTAAATCCATGCAAACTCCTTCCCTTGCTACTGGTGTTAGCTTTCTGTTGCTATGACCAAATATCTGACAAATACAGGAAAAAAGTTTGATTTTTGGCTCATGGGTTCAGAAGTTCCAGTCCATGGTCACTGGGTTCCATTGTCTGTGGCGAACTATTTTGATGGGAGTACATGATGGAGAGGCTGCTCTCCTTAAAGTGGATGAAGAGGAGGAGGCGGGGTCCCAATAACCCCTTCAGGGCCACACTCCAATGATCTCATTTCCTCCCACCAGACCCTGCCTTCTAAAGGTTCCACCATCTCCCCAGAGCACCACCAAGCATCTAGCATATGGTTCTTTGGGGATATTTAAGATTCAAACTGTGACTCTACCAGTGTACCCTTTATAACCTCAGTAAGAATCCAGGCCAGTGGCCTTAACTTGCTTCCTCAAAGCATGCCAGACTCCCACAGGACACCTGTCCTATTGTCTCCAGAGGCGTCACCCATACAAGTAGTAGACCATCCCATGCCCTCTTCATCTGTGTGGCATCATTGTCATAGACATCTGAACCAGACTTTGGCGGTGTTCCAGGTGAGCACAACAGGGAGCTTTCTGGCCATATCTCAACACTTACTGAAAGTGGAACCAATGAGGGTCTCTGAATTAAATGATCCTATTACGTGAGGACCATGACTCCTGAAGGTATGTGACGTGGTGACCCTTGAGATGGAAGCAGGAACTTTGTGAGTCAGGGCAAGGAGTTTCTCAGGGTAATAAGGAGATTTAATCAGAGAATAAATGGCTTGATTTTAGCTTTTTAAAGATCAATCTGTTAGGACTGAATTGTACTTCCTCCTTTCCCCAGTTCATATGTTGAAGCTCCAACTTCCAGCATGACTGTATCAGGGAGGTAACTGGGGCTAAAAAGTCAGAATGGTGGACCTAATTCAATAGGACTGGTACCCTTATGAAAAGAGAACAACAAAGATTTGTTTTTCTCTCTGCCTGCACTAAGAAAAGGTCACAAAAGGACAGAGTGAAAAGACAGAAGTTATAAGACAAGAAGAGCAACCTCACCAAAGCCAGACCTGATGGTTCAGAACCCAACCTCCATCTTGGATTTGTATCCTCCCAAACTGTAACAAAAATGTATTTCTGCTGTTTAAGCTCCGCAGACTTGGTGTTCAGGGACAGCAAGTGGAGCAGGTTAACACTAACAATTGTGTGTAGCAGGAAAGGGGGAATGAGTGTCCGAAGTGGAGAGAAGCAAGGAGACCATGCCGCCAAGCAGGGGCATTACTGGTGGGGACAGGGAGAAACAGACACGTCTCGGCTGTGTCGGGAACGGCACATAGGGTGCTGAGAATTGGAGGTGAAGGGTAAGGAGAAGAAAGGAATCACAGATAAGTAAATAAATCAAGCCAATTCCCCTTTTAGTTTAGACTAAGAAAAATCGCTCAAGAATGGAAATAAGCAGGAAGGTGAATCAGAGGATATTTTCAGACAGGGAACAGTGAGGTCATAGTAGGTACTGCCCTTTTACAGTATTATGTAATACGTTTTTATGGAAGTGCTAGAGATCAAACTGAGGGCCTCATGCATGCTAAGTAAGTGCTCCTCCATCGAGTCATACCCCTGGCCCATGTAATGCATGTTTACAGTGCAGTAGGACATACGATTTTAGGGTGAACTAAATCAACATTTCCTGAAACAGACACAGCAACTTCCCAACTCCCCAAACAAGGAATCAATTGTGTTTGCTTCACACAGTAACTGGTGACTCATTGCGAGTGGAGAAAGAATGTGCACTATGACACAGATCTACATTGCTCTTAAATCACTTAGACACATGAAAAAACCATCAATTTAATGAGCTTCTAGAATCTTCTGTGAAGCCAGATTTTTGAAGCCAAGTTCTAATTTTGTCTCAGACAATACCGGCTATACTAAGATTTCTAGCACACAGCAAATAGCACAGGCCTGCTGCAGCAGCAGAAGAAAATAAAAATAATTGGTCTATTCAGAATGTTTTGTTATCAAGTGCTGGTTTGGTTTTAGACACATGGAATAGCTTTTGTAACACAGATACTGCAGAGCTGACCCTCCAGATGCCTTCTTAGCTCCCTAGCCTTCTCTTCCCAGGTGAGTTTTGCTCTTTTCAGCTTAATTCTCTTTCTTCCTAAGAAGAAGAAAGCACCTTCAGAAGATCAGGGCTGGGAGATCAGCATGCTCTTCTCTTCAGTCTTCTTCTATGCTTTCAGTCTTTTCCCTCAGTTCCTGTATTCTTTCTTGATTTGCTGCCCCATTTTAATAGAAGATACCCTTCACTGGCATTACAATGGGCCTTCTGTAAAAGTGTTTATTTGCCACTAACAAACGCAAGAAGCAGAACACAATCCTGAGATATGACTGTTGTTTTTAATGAAGTTTCTGCCTCAGAGTACTACATGGTAGCACACCTTATTCATGGGGGACGAGTTCCAAGACCCATACTAGATGTCTGACACTGCAGGTAGTACCAAACCCTAAACATTTTTCCCTATACATACACATTTATGATAATTCATAAATTAGGCACAGTAAGAGATGAACAATAGCTAACACAATAGAACAATTATACAATATACTGGTATTAATCAACTTTCTGTCACTGACAAAACCCTTGGGAAACAACTTACAGGAAGAAAGGGTTATTTTGGCCCTATTTCAGAGGTTTCTATCCACCGTTAGTTGTTCTGTTAGTTGTTTGAGCTGGTGGGAAGGCAACACAGGAAGTATAGAAGGGTAGAGCTAGGGAGCGAGATATGCCCTTCCAGGTCAGGCCCCCAGTTAGAACCTCTTCCTGTGTTGTGGAAGGGGGTGCATGCAGAGCAAAGTTGCTCACTTCATGGTGGCCAGGAGGCAGAGAGAGAAGAAGGGACTGAGGTCCCAATATTCCCTTCAGAAGCACGCTCCCGGTGACCTCACTACATTGCAATAGGCCCTGCCTCCTAAAGGTTCCATTGTCTCCCATCAATGACATGGGCTGATGACTAAGCCTTTAGCATGTGAACCTTTGGGGGACATTTAAGATCCAAACCATAGCACTTATAATAAAAAGTAAATGAAGATGTTCTCTCTCACAAAATATCTTTCACTTTTTCACTTAAAGCACTTCATACCTTCCCTCTGGCATTCATGAATTTCCAACATTGCTATTCTTATGCTTTGAAGTCACCATTAAGAAGTTACTTGAACACAAGCCCTGTGATACTGCAACAGGTGGTCTGATAACCTAGATGGCTCCTCTGTTGCCAATGACCAGGCAGTTTATAAAGAGCATGCATCTGCACAAAGGATCAAGTCCCAGACAGGACAAAGTGGAACAGGATGACATTTTTTCATGCTGCCCAGAATAGCAGGTGATGTAAAGCTGCTGAATTATTTCTGGAATTTTCTACCTAACATTTTTGGATCCTGGTTGACTTGAGGTAACAGAAGCCTCAGAAAGCCAAACTGTGCATAAGAGGAATGCTGAGGTTTAGATGTGGGGTGTCCCTTCAAAGCCACATGCGCTCAGAATCAGAGCTTTTGGAAGGTGATTGGATTATGGGGGCAGCAGAGCTGATTTGCTGTTAGGAGGTGGAGTCTTATTGGATCAGGTCCTACCTGGGGGCGTGACCTAGAAGGGCATATCTTCCTGCCTAGCTCCCCACTTCTGGCTTCCTGTCCACTGTAAGGAGAACTTTCCTTTGCCCAGATCCTTCCATCTGTTGCCAACTATATAAGGAC